CCTTCTTATACATGACACTTAATTCTAATCTTCATACTCCACTATTCAGAAGTCCCAATCGCTGAACGCTGGTTGCAAATGATCTGGTCAGTTTTACATCTCAAGCGCCAGAAAGAACCAAGGTCAAAGTCAAGCTCTTCTGTATTCTCATTTGATAATTCTGTTCGTCTCTTTTTTGTTCTCCCCTCTTCTACTCCCCTTGTCAAGTTTATTTAATCTGTCTTTTTCAAACACAGTAAGTAGGAGGTTGTACTGACGATTCGCAATCCTAGTCGCATCAGATACCCTGCCTGTGATTACAGCTAAGGGATAAAACAAAGACTGCACTGCAAATATGTGATTTGCATATGTAAGAAGGGTATAGTTGGAAATGCTTACATCCCGTCGGTATTGACAAATGTTGCTCCGCGCGAATTTCGAGGCATATTGGCTTCCGCAATAACATCATTCACCTTAAACACAGGACTGAGTGCTGTTATAAATAATAATAAGTAAAATTTAGTTTATTTCTGGCCGATCGTGGAGCAATATATAATTACTGACAGATTGATCAGAGGGCAGCACAAGACGAAGAAGGGCGAAGGGATGGGAAAGGGTAGTTGTAGTGGTTCTTCCCCCTCCCGTCCTCCGTCGTAGTGGTCCTAGCGAAGGAGGGGAGGTGGAAGAAAGAGGTTATGGATTGGAAAGGAACTGAGACTTTGGTTGGAAACAGAGGCCAGGTTTATGCGTGATGCCCCTAAGATTTTCTTATGCTCAACGTAAAGTTCACGCTGTGGAGAAGTTAGCGGTTTTGAATGCGTCGCCCAGAATCTTACCTAAGCAAAGCCCAGGTCATCGCGCAACAGACTTACTTATGCGATCATGCCTTTCAATGCTGTATATGCAGCGATAAAATCGTTAACAACATGAATGTTTCCTGCGCTACAGTTTAACACTAGGACACATGCTGGCTATGTTTTGGCGTCCCTTACATGCGGGGGAAAAGGGAGGAATTAGGACGGTAATATTGTATCATGAGATCCTGGATCTCCAGCGCACATGATTATCAATTTTGCATGAAAATCGGTCGTTTTTCCAGTGAGTGATCGTTCATC